TCCACATGCCTGGGCTTACAGGCACACACATGAGAACATGAAAACCTGGGGAAATCAAGTGAGCACAAGTAAAATGGGAGAAATTTGAATGATTAGTGGATATCACTATCAATGATAATATCTTGCTTGTGGTATTAGTCTGCAGTTTCTCAAGATTCTATGGTGGGAGGAAATTAGAGAAAGGGTACATAGGATATCTATTATTTTTTTACAATTGCATATGACTCTACAGTCATCTCAATAAAAACTTTAGTCAAAAAGATTGACAATTCCAAGTGTGGGTGAAAATGTGGGAAAACTAGAAATCTCATCCATTGCTGATGAGAATGTAAAATGGAATAGCCAACTTGTAAAGATTTTATTAATTTATTATAAATGCAAAGGTATACTTACCTTGCAACTCAGCAATACCACTCCTAGATATTTACCCAAGACCAGTTAAACCATGTGAAGTGAAGTCACTCAGTCGTGTCTGACTCTTTGGGACCCCGTGGACTGTAGCCTACCAGGATCCTTAGTCCATGGGATTTTCCAGGCAAGAATACTGGAGTGGGTTGCCATTTACTTCTCCAGGGGATCTTCCCAACCCAGGGATCGAACCCCGGTCTCCCGCATTGTAGGCAGACGCTTTACCATCTGAGCTACCAGGGAAGCCCATAATTAAATCATATCTTGACACAAATATCTAAATGCAGATACTCATAAGAGCATTATTCATAATAGCTAACAGATGGAAAAAAACAACTCAAAAATCTGTCAACCAGTGAATGAACAATAAAAAGAAAATGTGGTATAGCCTTACAGCGGAATAAAAAGCGTTAAAAGCCAGGCTACTCAACATTAAGAGCCAGGCTACACACTACAACATGGATGAATTGCAAACCTTTATGATAAGTGAAACAAGCCAGGCACAATTGCACCCATGTGATTTTATTTATATTTCTAAAAAGGCGAAACTTAAGAAATCAGACCAGTGGTTGTCAGAGGCTGGTAGGTGAAAGGAGAAAGTTGATTTCCAAAGGGCATGTAAAAAGGAACTTTTTGAGATCATGGACATATTCTATATCTCAATTGTGATGGTGTTGATATTGTATATGTATGTCAAAACTCATCAAACTATCCTTAAGAAAGGATGAATTTTATTGTATGTAGGTTACACCCCACATAAAAAAATTCAGTAAGACTTATGAATACATCATCAATATACTGAAATAAACTATTTCTATATATAGCAATAAATAGAAAAAATACCATTTGAGGCAGCATCAAGAAGCAACAAATTACCTAAGAATAATAGATGCACACACGTCTGCACAGAAAACTGAGAGACGTTACAGCAAATAAAGATCTAAACAAATGAAAGATACACAGGTTCATTGGTTGGAAGACTAAATGTGTAAACAAATCAATTCATCCAACTCCAAATTGATCTGCAGATTCAATGCAATCTCAGTCAAAATCTCCGCAAGTTTCTTTTTAAAATGACAACTGAGAAGCCAATTTTTCAGGTGGAGAGGGAGGTGGAAGGGGGGACCGGGATGGGGAATACATGTAAATCCATGGCTAATTCATTTCAATGTATGACAAAAACTACTGTAATGATGTAAAGTAATTAGCCTCCAACTAATAAAAATAAATGGAAAAAAAAATAAAGAGGAAAAAAAAAAGAAAAAAAATAAAAGTTCTATGAAGATGCAAAACACTAAGAAGAGCCAAGGCAGTCTTGAAGAAATGAGTGTGAAGAGTCACACTACTGTTTATTAAAACTTATAAAGTCATAGTAATGAAGTGTGTCTGATATTGGCTCAAGGATGAACAGAAAGATCCAGCCATGTAAGAATATCTGATTTATGATGAAGTGATACTAAAATACAGGGAGAGAAATAAATGATGCTGGGTTAATTTGATCTTTCATCAAGGTAAAACAAAAACTTATTAGAAAGAAACATAGGAGACTATCATCATGACTTTGAACCAGGCAAATACTTATACAACAGGACACAAAAAGCATAACTTCTAAAAAATATTAAACAAGAACCTCTATTAAATTGTGCCATTATGAGTGAAAGGGCAAAGCACAGAATCAGATATTTGCATTGTGTATATTATACAAAAAATTTCTCGGGACCAAGAAAAGCAAGGAGGAAGAACAGCAAAGTTCTTCACGAGAAACCTGCTGCAGGTCAAGAAGCAACATTTAGAATGGGACATGGAACAACAGATTGGTTCAAAACTGGGAAAGGAGTGCCTCGTTTGTAATTGTTACCCTGCTTAGTTAACTTATATGCAGAGTACGTCATGAGAAACACTGGGCTGGATGAAGCACAAGCTGGAATCAAAATTGCCGGAAGAAATACCAATAACCTCAGTAAAGCAGATGACACCACCCTTAGGCAGAACGTAAAGAGGAACTAAAGAGCCTCTGAATGAAGGTGAACAAGGAGAGTGAAAAAGCTGGCTTAAAACTCAACATTCAAAAAACTAAGATCATGGCATCCAGTCTCATCAATAAATAGTAAATAGACGGGGGTAAAATGGAAACAAAGACATTATATTCTTGGGCTCCAAAATCACTGCAGATGGTGACTGCAGCTGTGAAATTAAAAGACACTTGCTCTTTGGAAGAAAAGCTACAACAAACCTAGACAGTGTATTAAAGGGCAGAGACATCAGTTTGCCGTCAAAGGTCCATCTAGTCGAAGCTATGGTTTTTCCAGTAGTCATGTACGGATGTGAGAGTTGGACCATAAAGAAGGCTGAGCACTGAAGAACTGATGCTTTCAAACTGTGGCGCTGGAGAAGACTTCTGAGAATCCCGCAGACAGCAAGATTAAACCAGTCAATCCGAAAGGACATCAGCCTGAATATTCATTGGAAGGACTGATGCTGAAGCTGAAGCTCCAATGTTTTGGCCACCTGATGTGAAGAATTGACTCACTGGAAAAGATCCTAATGATGGGAAAGATTGAGGGCAGGAGGAGAAGGTGGTGACAGAGGGTGAGATGGTTGGATGGCATCATTGACTTAAGGATGAGTTTGAGCAAACTCCAGGAGATAGTGAAGGACAGGGAAGTCTGGCATGCTGCAGTCTATGGAGTCGCACAGTCGTACACAAATGAGTGACTGAATGACAACTTCACAAGACAACATATACAAATAAATGAAATTCATATGTAGAAGTGTCTACTTTCTTTAATCTTCTGAGGAATGCAAATTCAAACCTCAAATGCAATACTAGTATACAACCAAACACAATGACCACAAAAGAAAAAACTAAACAATACTAAGTTTTGACAAAGATGAAGAACAATAAGAGACTATTGATATGGCTGGAGTGCATAAAAATGGATACAACCACTTAGGAAAATTGTGTGACATTATCTATTAAAGCTAATCATACACATAAGACCCAGTAATTTCACTCTGAAAGCAATGCTTACAGATGGGACATCAAAAATATCCACAAAAATGTTACTGCCTGCAGAATTTCTAAGAGCCCAAAGCCAAAACAATCCTAATGCCTATTAGTAATAAAATGGATTTTTGAAAGTATAGTAAATTCACACAATGCAATGTTATGTAAGTTTGAAAAGACAGTAATATATATCATTGAAAAGGGGCAAACCACTGTTATATATACAGAGTGTTTAAGTTTTAGAAACATAACATTAAGGGGAAGAAAATAGCACACAAAAAGACATTGTTTGATTCTATTTCTATGAAATTTAAACAAGTGGTCAACACCAATATATGGCGAAGAATAGTGGTTTTCTTTGTTGGAGGTTATGTCCAGGAAGTGGTCAACTTCTTGATCAGGGTGATGGTTCAACAGGTATGTTCAGTTTTTATAAAAATGTATAGGACAGTTACTTAGAACCTGTGTATTTTTCTGTATACGTTTGTTTACAAACAAAATAGGAGTAACAGACACTCATTAAAAATGTAGCATCAGTTCTTTTGGGACATATTTTAGGATGTTTTGCTGTATTAGCAAGACAGGCAGAGACCCTATCTTTTTGTGTTTGCACGCATTGTGCTGTTTTATTTTTTAATTGGAAGATAACTGCTTTACAATGTCGTGTTGGTTTATGCCAACACAGAGATCCTATCTTAAAGATGAGTTAGTACTAATATTTGCATGATGAATAAAATTTTCCCAGAAATTCGGGAATCTATGCCTTTGGTGTGTAGCTCACTACTATTAGTTGGATTGCCTCCAACTGTTAGGCAAAGGAGCAAAAACATTAGTCATTGCCAAGTTCCCAGTGTATTTCCTTGGACCGCCAGCTAGAAAATTCCATGTGCGTTTACTTAGTCAGCCAGTTTAAAATTATTCTATGTATAGGACCATTTCTGTTAAAAATTATTAAAAATTTTAGAGTAAGACTTTTACTATTCTAACAACTTTATAAAGAATGTAAGATAATTACAATAGAACCCTGTAATTACTGTAGAATTACCTATCAGAACATGCCTTGCTGACTTTACAAACTATTTGGAGTACACACACACACACACACACACACACACACATGCTGTGTTCTGCTAGAGGAAGCAGAAAGTCATAAAGAAGTGACTTAAGTTTACTGAGTGAAGGATAGAAACTTATTTTAAAAATGAATGACAAGTTTTGCAACAAAACCCCCAATATACCAAATTTAAGATGCCCACAGTGTTCTGAGGATCAGGGAGCATATATGCATACAATTTACTGGATTACTGTGATTTCAGAGGTGGGAAACCTGAGTAGTGAGAGATACAGTATGTTATTGGGAGAAGGGTAGAGAATATTAAGTCCTTATAAAAGCTTTAGGAAGATACTAAGGCTAGATCTTTTTAATTTCTACCTTCCTTTGAAAGTTTTTCTATCTCATTTTTTCTTTGTAAAATGTTTCCAAATTCATCTCCTCAGTACTTAAAAGAAGTTAAGAGACAGTTGTTTCTACTGTAAGCATGTCATGCACCTTCTGCGGATTCAAGGATAAAATTAAAACAAGGTATTCTCTGTAAAGCAAATATATTTATTATGCACTTTCATTTACATATGGATTTTTGCTTAATATAATACAAGGAATAAAATAAAACTTTTACAATGTGAAATTCAATGTACATTTTTAGGCTATTTACATACCCCTAAACCAAGGGAAAAATTCAAAAAGAAAAAGCATTTGTCTGCAACTACATTTGCTGCAAAGTGTAATGGAGGACATTAAAGTAAAACAAGTATTTGCATAGGCAAACAATATTGGAAAAAGTACTTACTCCTGTTTTTTTGAGCAGTGAACTACTTTTGGTGAGGATTCTGGTGGGCATGGGGGGTGAGGGTGAGGGACACAACATAACTGGCTGTATTCTGCAGAACACACTGAGTTCTGCTCCATTTTCCTTCCAAAACCTTTCCTACGCGCAGGGACATTTTAGTTTTCATTACTTTATTTTTTTTAAATATCACTTCCTCTGCTATCAACTCATGACTTTTAGGAAAGGAACACAAATGGAGGGGTATAGAGCTGTTTAAAAGCACACAGACCACGGCTGTATTGTGGCAGCAGGCGATTTACAAAATTTAATGTTTAAAAAATAGTTATTTAGGAGTTTTCTATTTATGGGGCTATTTTTACTCTCAATGGAGCAGAAGCTATTTTCAGTCATGGTATTAGATAAATCCCCACAGAAACCAATAAGCAAAGCAGGGCTTCTTCGACCCGCGTGTTAGCCTTACCCCAAGTGAAAGCCATTGCTGTTCTATTCCAAAACTTAGTTCATGTAAAAACATCCGGAGGAATATTTACTTCCGAAAAGCGTATTTTTCCAACAGGTTCTCTTCCTACCAACTGTTTCAAGTGAATAGAGTACGGATATGAAAACACTGAGCTCTTCAGAAAACAGAAATCCCTTGTGTCACGAGTCATATCTTTGCCCGCTGGCCACAAGGTGCATTTTTGTAAAAACAATAAAATTAAATAAATACAATTCCAATAATTCAAGGTTTAATAGAAAAACTGGCAGCTTTCAAGATTCTCTTTCTAAAGAAAAATACACCTAATAAGAAATTAGAGCTTTCTCTTCTAAATTACGTAAATGTACTGTATTTGAGATATGAGTAGAGTTGGTTCTAGTAATAGGATGTGTTCATAGTTATTAACAGAATCATTAACACTTTTAAGGCTACTTTGCAAGAGTCCTATTAAGTGTATTTAATAAATGTCCCATAGGGACAAAAATTCAACACTTGAAACATTCACATTCGAGTTAGAAATATTGCCATGTCACCTTAATATAGATTGAACTTATCTCCTATTCTGATTATGACTTACCGATGATATAAACACCCAAGTTTCGCTGACTTTAAAAAACAGAAGCAAAAACAAAAGCCTTACAGGAAGATCAAGTGAAACATTTATCACGACCAACTACATATTTCTGTTTCTGTGAACAATGCATCATGCATGTGTCCTTCATATATGAAGATGACATTACTGACCTCAGATACTAAGACATTTTCTAAAGATTTTTTTCCAGTAGCTGCAATGGTTTTGTGCTGAATCTCCAAATTCTCTTTCCTATTCCTCTTCATCAACAGCACATGGAAAGAATAGAATTTCTGGGTTTTGTAAGATCCCAGGGCTTTTGTAAAGATCAAACCTGCAACCTTGGTTTCTAAACAAATTTGAACCTCTCCAGACATGCATACACCAATCTAGCTCAACTGGTTTAAGTGTCCATCCAGGAGGTCAAGGCAGTGGGTCACATGCTCATCTGAACAGCTGACTTTGTTTTCCTTGGTTACAGACTTCACCCCTAACCCTGGCATCTATCATTCTAGAAGTGATTGTCCAAAGAGTAAAACAGGAAAGAGTATGTGGACAGAAAAGTGCAAATCCATTACTACTGTTTAGCAAATAGCAATAAAAAAATACATCTGTACTATGGCCGATAGGTTAGTGGTGTCATCTGTGAAGGAAAACACATATTCATCAAGAATATTCATCCAACTAATCATTAAAATTGATCCAATTGATTCTGAGTGGGGGGCTATTTCAGACATGCAGTGATTTACAAAATAGAAAGAACAGAGAGAAGCCGGCATCACAATCTACAGTGGTAAATGTTTTACATAACTGGATGGAAGAAAGAAGGGTAGTCAGTGAATTGTTCAGGGATCAAAAATCTACCCTCAGATAGACAGGTGCATCTCCCTCTATACACATGCCACTGAGGCCTGGCTCTGTCCCTGAGAATTTTCATGCCTCAGGAATGATCATCTGTCTTCTTGGATGTGGAATGACAAGTGAGAGGAAGGTGAAACTGCATCCCAGTGAATGAAACAGAACTTTGTTCTGCCTATAGTCTGTGTATGGGTTTTTTCCTTTTTTTTCCCACACCTTTAGCTGAAGATTAGGAGGATTACACTGAGAAGTCTAAATTTAAACTGCTTAGAGCAGCTCCCTAAAATACTAGACTTTTCGAAAATCTTTCATGAAACTATTTTTTCACCTTGATGTAGCATTAAATAGAAACACATTTTAAACCAATGCTGAAGGTGTAGTGAACATAAAAGAGTTGCATGGTTTATTTTATTGAGTGACATTTTTAAGGATACAGGAAAACAAACTATACATTACAACAAGGTAAGTGTGACTGAAACAGTATGCTTAAGTTTCATTTGCCACAGAAAGAAAAAAATAAATACAAGGAACACTGCCTTTTCATATATATTTGATCATGGCACATGCACACTTATCAAATATTAACTTAAAATACTCAAAATATTTTTCATCTTTTATCAGGGAACTGCAGTATATATCTGCATTTAAAAAAAAAAAAAGTGCTTACTCTTGGGTAGTGAATACAAAGCACACAAAATGAAATTTTTTAAGCACAGAGGGTTACATTGAGAAGGCAGCCTTACTACTGAGGCACGTGACAGTATTTAAGGTAACTGTACTGCAGGTATCACATTCTTCTTTTTTTTTTCAGCAAATCAACAGGCATTTTGTTTTCATCCAGTAGCTGAAGAATCACTCCAATCACAATGTCTTCTGTTTCACAGAATAGGAAACTAATACAAAAGTTAAAAAAAAAATTAATTTCTACATTATACTTTTTAAATATAACTACATATAGTTTTCAAACTCTACATAAGAAAGGGTTCGATCCCTAGGTTGGGAAGATCCCCTGGAGAAGGGAAAGGCTACCCACTCCAGTATTCTGGCCTGGAGAATTCCAAGGAGTGTATAGTCCATGGGGTCACAAAGAGTCAGGCACAACTGAGCGACCTTCACTTTCACTTAAGAATATATATATATATGTGTGTGTGTATATATATATATATATACATACATATTTACTATGTAAAGCACAAAAGGAGACCTATTAGAGATTCACTAAATATAAATTACTTAAATATTCCACAAGTGCTCACCTTAATTCATATGTTTTATTGTAAAATATATACCCACACTTAATATTTACAAAAGATATCATGAGAGTTAGAGGGCTGTACCATCAGAACTAAATATTTTTAAAATAAATCACATTGGAGAATGAATGAACTACTTTCATACAACTTATGTTTGAATGAGATTTCACCAGTCCTCCATATATTCAATTTGAAGGATGTTTATTATTAGAATGTATAGGAAATACTTGTGTATAATTAAACACATGTACAAACATACTTGTGTATAATTTAGCAAAAATGCCTAATGAAATCTTGAATTTATCTCAAATGAGAAATGTATTTCTGAAAAAGTATCCATAATATAAAACTATAAATCAATTTTCCCATTAACCTCCCTCTATAATTAGAATAGTATCCACTGTAGTAGAAAGGAGAAAGTTTTTATTTAATAAATATAACTTTGAGGTTTAAAACAATTCTCACACCTAAATATTGGGCCCTGAATACCCTAAATATATCCATTTATCTACTTTTGATATGTGTACATTTCACTTGAAAGATTCTTAAGAGATTTGTCATAACAAAAATTACCTTTTATGATTAAATTTTTTATTTCTTCCAGGGTGAAAAATGGAAGGAAATTAACATTCACTACCTACCTACTGAGCATTACATACACTACTTTATTCAAACCCAAAAGGGAAATAGCCCCACCTCTGTTATCATAAAAGAACTTTTAAGGTGGGGAGAATGATTGTATAGGAAGGAATCTTTAATCTGAGATCCATAAATAGCATATTCATTCATTCACTCATACAAAACATTTTTACCCGAGAAACTACATGGGTCCAAGCAGTATTCCAAGTACACGGAATACAGTGGTAAACAAGAGAGATTAAAAATGCCTACCCTCACAAGGCTGACATTTCAGATGAGAGGGGACAAATAATAAACACAATAAAGTATATAAACCATGTTAAGAAATAAGTACCATGGCTAGTGTGAAGCAGAAAAGGGGGAAAGGAAGTGGTGGAGGTGGGGGAATTCAAATTCCAAAGGGTAACGAGGGGAGGGTCTTGCTGAGAAGAGGACACAGATAGTGATGAGGTGAAGGAACAGGCCATGTGGATTAGGGAAAAGAGCATTCTAAGGGAACAATATATGGAGGGAACCATACTTTGGATGTTTATTCTTTATGTTGATGAAATGTTACCTTTTATAATGGTGTTTCCTTTTTATAGTTGAAGCTAGGGTCAGAACCCTCAATCTGAAGCTTCAGAGCTTGTTTAAGGCTTAATTCCGTCTCCGAGGAAGGGTATCCTTCTAACACTTCCTGATGCCCTCTATCTTGTATTGTCCGTGGGACTGAAACCCTACCGAGAAAAACCTGGTTGCTCTGCAGATGATAATTTGGATTTGTCATTATTCCGTTTCTCTTCTTCTGTTCCCCACTTTGTTGGTGAATAAGGAACTGCTGTTGAGATCGGCCTATTTCTGGCTGAGCTGAAGGAATCATGATTTTACACTGTGAATCTGCTGGCATCTGCTTAGATGGTGCACTGGTCCCAGATTTGGCTGTGGGTCCTCTTTTATCAAACTGTGTCATTTCATATTCTAAGACCTTCGGCTGTGAAGAATTATTTTGTTTAGCTTTTTTCCCAGCTGACCCAGATTTGTTGGAATTTTCTGATTTCCCCCCTTTATTCGTCTTCGTTGACTTCAAGCTGGGCTTGACTTGACTCCACTCAAACTCACTACTCGGTGAATGATGGCTCTGGCCCAAGGACTGTGTTGTGGAAGATGGGGAGACAATCGACTGGCGACTTCTACTGCGTGGCAACGAGTGCTGCTGAATTTGTTCTGTAAATGACAAGCTGTGGAAGCTGTCAATTGGCACTGTTTGAGCCGTTGCTGTAGATGAAGTAGTTCTCAAAGATGAATTTTTTGAGCTTTTCAAGGAATTATTTGACAACGATGACTTTTGCCGATCAACTGTCGAATCAGGCGATTCTGAAGGAGAACTGAATGCATGAGCTGGCCCATTTGGTAAACTGCGCAACGAAGGCTGCACTTCCCCACCACCAGTGCTGCCTGAGCTGTTTGATTTAATTGTTAGGGACTGCATCTTCGAAGACACTGACTGTAGAGGTTTTTGCTCCATCGTGTGAACAGGAGATGGAGAACAGCCATTCAAACTGGATGCACCATATTTTTCTAATAATTTAATTATCTGAGAGTGTCCATTTTTGGCTGCAACTCGCATAGCAGTGCGTCCAAATTGATCAGCATGGTTTGGATCGGCACCATGCTCTAATAAAACCTGCACGACGTCAATGTGTCCTTCCTGGGCCGCAATGCAGAGCGCGGTGGCGCCCTGATTACATGTGTGGTCCACCACGGCGCCATGCTCAATGAGAAGCTGCACCACTTTTACGTGGCCCTGCCAGGCTGCAGACTGCAGTGCGGAGCGCTTCTCATTGTCAGCAGCATTGACATCAGCGTGGTAGGTGATCAGAACCTGCACCATCTCCAAGTGGCCTTGCCAGCACGAGACATGAAGTGCTGTCCTGCCTTCAGCATCACTTGCTTCCACGTTTGCACCATTTTCCAAAAAATACTCAGCCATTGTAAGCTGATTTTCTAAGGCCAAAATATAAAGTGTTGGCCTGCCATCAGCATCTTTGTAGTTAACATCAGCTCCGTGGCTAAAAAGCAATTCAACAATGTCCCGGTGTCCTTCTAACGCAGCAACCCGCAGAGCATTTCTTCCATCATAACCTCTCTGATCAATGTTGGATTTATTCTCCAGTAATATTTGAACACAGTCATAATGACCCTCTTGTGACGCTAATATGAAAGGTATCCGCCCATCGTTGTCGATCTCATTTGTTCTAGCACCTTGTTCAATAAGTGCTTCACATATTAATCTGTGGCCTTCAAAAGCTGCCATGTGCAAAGGTGTCCATCCAGCATCATCTCTGTGATTTTCATCTAAGCCCCGGTCCAAGAGAGTACGGACTACTTCAACATTTCCCTGGGCTGAAGCTATGCTAAGCACTGTTCTCCCTTCACTGTCAATGCTGTCCACGGCAGCACCCCAAAACAAAAGCGTGTTTACAACTGAGGCATGACCCATAGAAGCAGCAGCTAGGAGGGGTGTACGCCCATTGTTATCCGTGTGGTCGACATCAGCTCCCCCCTCTAGAAGCAAGTCAACCACATCGACATGTCCTTCATAGGCAGCCACCAGCAGGGGCGTCATGCCATCTTTATCGCAGTGATCCACTTCAGCACCTCGATCAATCAGAAGGCTAACGACCGATGCATGTCCTTTACTTGCAGGAACACAAAGTGCAGCCACAGAGAGTGCAGTCCTGCCGTCAACATCCTCATGATTCACTTCCGCTCCGTGATCCAGCAGGTGTTCCACGATCTCTCTATGTCCCATATAGGCAGCCGCAATCAAAGCAGTTCGGCCTTCGTTGTCAGCTTTGTTGACTTCAGCACCATGCTGGAGCAAGTTCAGCACAATATCCTCATGTCCTCCCCAGGCTGCTGCTCTCAGAGCTGTTCGGCTGTCGGCATCTGCACAGTCCACTTTTACGCCGGCATAAAGCAGTGCAGACACAACCTCAGTGTGACCACCCCAAGCCGCGGATCTCAATGCTGTCCAGCCATCCTGATCGGTGTGATTAATATTTGCTCCACAACCAATCAGACAATTAACCACCTTGGTATGTCCTTGTCGAGCAGCCAGGGTGAGTGGCGTGTGTCCGTGAGCATCTTCTATTTCCAAGTCTGCTCCCCTAGAGACCAGTAAATTCACCACGTCAAGGTTGCCACTGTAAGCCGCATTAGCCAGTAATGTTCTCCCATTAGAATCACACTGATTTACTGAAGCTCCATTGTCTAGTAATGTCCGAATGGAATCCTCTCTTTCTAAGGCCTGCCGAACGATGCATGATGTGCGATCATCTTCACTGTTGACATGAGCGCCAGCTTTCACCAACAGCTGCAGCACTTCTTGTTCCTTGGGTATTAAAGTAGACAGGGAGTCTCTGACAGGTGTGCCATTCCATATCATCCACAGAGCCAACTCAGCTGTCTCTAACTGTAAGTTCGAATTAATTAAGTGCAGCGCAAATTCTTGTGCTTCCAATGGTGTTAAATTCTTGGCTTGACAGGTATAACTCATAGCCAACATTCGGTGTCCTTCTGCTGCATTGCATAAATACTTTTGAGTGCAGTGTTTCACATCCAGGAGCCACTCTGCAAAACTGTAGTGAAATAGTATTTTAGTATCTCCAAGTCCATCAACAAGAAGTTTGGAGAGGACATCTAACTTGCGTTGAAAATCTTCCAAGGTTAATGACATATTTTTTGTCCATACTGCATGATATAATTCTGTTATGGTCAGAGGCCGGCAGGCTGCAAGAATCACATTCAAGATAGGCTGAACCTTTGCAAACTGTTTTCTTACAAAAAGTCTTTGACACAGCCAGAGATACAGACCATTTAGAGTTCCTGGGATGTCACGAATCTCTCTCAACATAATAAAATTTTCTACAACTCCATCGAGAACTCGTTCTAGATAAAGAAAGCATCCGCTGCTTTTAATGTGCAGTTGATTTAACATCTCTGCAGTTTCTTTCGTGAGGTGTTGTCGCAAAGCTTCTTCTTGATCTAAACGATGAAGGATGTACTGCTGAACATCCTTAACGATATATGCCTTCCGAAGATCATCTAAACTTATTTTTCGAAAACCTAAGGACAAAAAAGTAGGTGTCAATTGAAAATGATTATCAAAGTTGCCATATTTCAAAGAGAATGTGTTCAACATGTGATAAATTAATAATCAAATAAATTAATAGTAAGTCAATTAATACTAATAAACAAGTCAATGAATACCTAGAAATATAATAATCAGATTTGGTTTTTTTTTTTTCCTTCTGGGAAAACACGCTAATGGCAGATAAATGATTTCATTTTACTATCTACAAAGGGAACTATTTATTTGTTTAGTGGTTCAGTGTTCCTCTCAACTTCAACTAAACTCATCATTATAGCATTAGATGTCTTTAGCTATATCCAAACACTTTTGGAAGTTTTTTTGATCCCTCTCAAATGATTAGGAAAGAAAGTTGCAGAAGACATAAATAAGATTTGTTTTTATATGCTGATCTTTTCCATATGAAAAATTTACATATTTCTATCCACATAGCCAAATGTACACTAGTCTTAATTATGGAATTGAATATTTGCATACAACTAGAATAGCACTTGTCACCACCTTTAAATTACATTATTTTACATGTTACCAAATTTAAATAATTAAATCTTAGATTGTCAAAAACAGTTCCAATCTGAAGATACAACTTGGTTAAACCACATTAACAAAACTTCAGCACTGTAAAAATAAAGCAGCTTAATAAAATTCAAACCAACCTAAAAACATACTAGTTAACAGCTATTCAAAACTCACTTTAAGTTCTTTAAAAGGAATCATAATCTCATTTTTGGAAGGGAGATGATATCTTGTTTTATAGATATGGATTTACTAGACAATTGTGTAATTCATCTTCCAGAAGAAAAAACTGCTGAGTGAACGAACTCTTTCTTAAGAGGAATAAATCTAGAAATGCAGCAAAGATCAGTGATTGTCAATTAATCCTGAGTAAAATACTCTCACTTAATTGAATAAAACAAATATGAATACACATACAAACACACACATACACACACACACATATATATATATATAAAACCTACTATATTCCAGGTACTATGTGAAGAAATGAGACTTGGATTTTGTGATCAGAAGTCAGTGAGAACCAAGACAATAATGTGAGCAGATTTGTATTCTGAAAGACTATTCTAGCATCACTAAAGACAAATAGCTAGAGTGAGTCAACACTTGGGGCAAAACTTTTTACAGAGTCTGTATTAAAGTCTACATAAGAATCACTAAAAGCTGCAGATAAATAAAAGTTGGATTTGGGAATCAGTCAGAGGGAACATCAAGCACAAGCCCCTACAGCAGAAAAAACAGATCTGAAAATAACGAACGTTAACTGACAAACAGAGAGAACGGGAAATTTCATGTTTTCCTGGCAGGAATATAAATTATTTCAAGCACACTAGACAGCAGTTTGTCAAAATTAAAGCTCAAAATGTACACACTCTATTCCCTAGTAATTCTACATATATTTTTATAGTATAAACTTATAGCACGTATGCAAGGTGTGTTTAAGCACATTCACGAAGCATTTCTTGTAATAATGAAAAACTGAAATAATGTCCATAAATAGGATAATGGAAAAACTAGAGATTTATTCATGGGAAGGAATAATATACAGCAGTTAAAAGCAATGAACTGGGTTTAAAAGTAGTAATAGAAACAAGGCTCGAAAACATTGTTTTTGATATATTGTTTTTTGATTTTTTTTATATGGTGAAATGATAACAATAGTAGTGATACATTTATGAAGCACTTATTATGTACTTAGGCATTGTTCTAAGTGCTTTACGTGTAACTTGACATTTAGACTCACACACAAAAATACCCTATGGGGAAAGTAATAGAAACATGTAATAACCATCAATGCATAGATGAGGGCACTGAGGCACAGACTGTATTAGAAGCTGCATAAGGTCACACAGCCAGTGAATGGGAAGAGCTAGGATGGTGCATGCAGTGTTTCACTTATGTGAAATACAAAAATAGACAGAATGAAAAATATGAGATAAAAGGACAAAAATAAACTAATAACACTGGTGGTCTCAAATGAAGAAGGGAAAGAAATGGGATGACATAGACCAAAAGGGGCTTCAACTTTACCTGTACCTGACATACTAAGAGATATCTAAGTTCATCCTATACATTCCCTGACTTTTATCAACTCAATTTCCAATAACAACAAAACAGAATAGCATAATGGAAACCACATAAAAAGGTATTACTAGCAAGGCAATCAAAAAGAGAGGGAATAAATCTGGTTAAAGGAAGCCATTTTAGCAAATTAGTAAGATTTCACCCTTATGTAAGATGTACAGAACTATTTTAAAGTGATATAGCTAATTAACCAATAACTTAATTATTATCTTCCCAATTACACTCTAAATCCTGTGAGTGGTCCTTGTTTCATGCTCCTTTTCATTCCCACAGCACAAAAAAAAAGTGTTTTGCATAATTTAATAGGAGTAAACACTTTACTGTGGTAGTTAAAAAAAAGAAAAAAAAAGGTAAAGTCAGGAAACAAGAAAAGAAAAAAAAACCTGATCATGTACTTTTAAACATTACATAGATTGCTTTCTCACACATTGGAAAAGGGTTTAAAAAAATAAAGGATCTACTTTAAGAGGTATCCTAAAAGGCTCTCCTCTAAAACCAGGAAAAACATCGTAGACAAACTGCCATTGATTTTTAAGGAGGCATATTCCATACTCTCAGGATGCTCGGTCTAGTTAGAAGAAATATAAGTCGATTAGGAAACATCAGCATAAAATATGTAGCCCTCACCTTTGCTAAGGAAGTTATTAGATAAAGAATCTTGAAAAAAGAAAGTTACTATTAAATTAACTTAAAATATTTTATGGCCTGTTTTTAATACCACTTTAAAAAGTTGAAAATCGCTAACAGAACAGAACAACTGAGAGAACAGCAGAAGCAAGGATCAAATTTTCAACTGAGTACTCTCCTCTGAGAAAGAAATACAAGTCTTAAGTTCATCAATGAAAAACATTTGCAGATGGTAGGAATTACACTTACCAGTAAACATTTTAGTAACAGCTTTGCTCTGTTTTCGGGCAGAACAGAGAAGCAATAGCCACGGTGGAAAGAACTCGTGGTGACCAGCCAAAAGCTCTGCCACAGTCCCAGATAAGCTGGTGGACATCTGTTCACCCTCAGTAACGTTACACCCTTCGTCCACAGAATCCACAAGAAGATAGAGGCTTTGCTGCGGCGGCTTCATCCCCAAAAGAGGGAGCAGGACACACCTGTAAACCACATCCATACAAACACTTTCAGACTTATTGGCTATATTAAGATTTATTATCTGAACACTAGAACTACAGGTTATAAATATTGTTTGAAGAAAGATGAAGTTTTAGAATAAAAATATCGTACAAGTTTCAATTCCATACCTTAATAAGAATACTGGTCCTAAATACTTCACTTTTTCAAAATCAACAATTTCCACAATAAAGTGTATGAGGGTGTGGGTGAATTAGTGATTCAGTGTAGTCTTGCCTGGAAAATTCCATGGATGGAGGAGCCCGGTAGGCTGCAGTCCATGGTGTCGCAAAGAGTCAGACACGACTGAGGGACTTCACTTTCTTTCCCTTTATAGTTCCTTTTGGAGAAAGAAATGGCACCCCACTCCAGTACTTTTGCCTGGAGAATCCCATGGATGGAGGGGCCTGGTGGGCGACAGTCCATGGCGTTGCACAGAGTCGGACACGACTGAGCAACTAACACACACACACTTCAGAAAGGCAGTAGGAACTTGAGAACACAAAACTTCAATATTCCTTTTCTGATTTTTTATCAATAATAAAAGCTTGAAATGTTTATAACAAAGCTAAAATGTAAAGAAAAAAAACTGGGATCACTGCCATAATATAAAAAAAAAATTAAAGTTTCTTTATAGAAGATTTTATCATCATGTCTCTCAGAAACAGGCTGCACTTGATCTAGTTTGTCACACACAAATCTTATTTGAAAAGACTTTTCAAAGATAGACTGCAGCCTGGGTCCCATTTGATGTATGCTCAAACTTCAATGTAAAGAATAAATTATTAGGTTTAATCCCACAGCAGAACACATCTCCTACTCAGACTGTTTATACTGAAGTTGGATGCAACTTTTTCCTAACTAAAATAATACTCATTCATTTTCAAGAAATATGTATAGGAGCATTCCATTTGCTCCATGAAGTACTAAAAGATACAATGGTGAAGAGGACAAACTCCATCAAACTCCATATGAACACCAGAAATTTACAGATGACCCTTTCTACAACTCTCTTCTTAATCTTTCAATCCCAGTAGCAACCAAGATCCAATTTATCACTAAGTCTTGTCAATATTTATTTATAAAAATATCTCAATCCCACCTTGGTCTGTATTATCACTGTATTCCAAAAACTACTGTCACGTCTTTCACCCGGGAACCATAACAACGTACGTCTTCACCCACTCCCTCCAGAGTTCCTACGGTGGCAGAGTAAACCTTTCACAAGGTTGCTCCAGCCACGCTAGCTTTCTTTTGCAGACCCCTTCTCCCTACTGTTTTTGAGATATATTTGTATACATCTTGTGACAGCTCTTAACAATAAGAGAACTTCTTTCCTTTGCAGGCTAGTGTATCCAGTGTTTAGGTTTCTAAGAAATCTTCTTATGAATCAAGAGTTATGGGCATGAACAACTTTTTTGTGCTTTCGTAACTCTCTCCAGCCAAATAAGATGAGAAGCTGTGGGGATGTACATAAGGCAGCCTTTCTCATCACAACCGCCTCCTCACAATCCTCAAATGTCTAATTCTCACATACAGCTCATGTGTGTGACTCATTCTTCCCTGCCCTCTTTATTCTTCCTTTCTGCTTAACTGGGTCCAGGGACACTTCCAGTCTAAGTCTCCTGTCTCCATAGTTCCAAATGAGAGCCTTTGTGTTCGTGATAATGTTATGGTATGCATATAAAAATGTTCTGTCAGTTTTGTCTGCACCTCCATTTGACATTAACTTCTATGTTTATCTTGAGGTTGGGGTTTACAGGTCTCTTATAGTTTTACTTTCTTGCCATTTGACTGTTTCCCAGGACTCACTCAGTCATGTTAAAACCATAAGTCAATCTAGGGCCTTAAAAATGTTGAGCAATTTTTCCTAGCCTTGCCCTCACCCCTAAACTCAAAGCTGCCATCTCCTTGTGGATGTCCTACAGGCATCTCAGATTTAATATGTTTTAAAAAGTATTCTCTTTCAATTTACTCCCTAACTAAGTTCCTCCTCACTCATCTCTCCATGTCAATTAGTGGTATCCCATCCCCCCTAGTTTCTTAAAATCCTAGGGCTCATTCCTGAGATCTCCCTTTTGTTCCAGCCACACTGCTATCCTTTCAGTTCTAACACCAAGCTTTCCTCCAGTCAGGGTCTATGTACTTGGTACTCCCTCTGATTAGAAAGCTCCCCCAGGCAGAACTGCTCTTCCTTCAGGTTTCAACACAAAGTTTATTCCTGAAGAGGCTTTCCCTGATCTCCTGCTGCTGCTGCTAAGTCACTGCAGCCGTGTCCGACTCTGTGTGACCCCACAGACAGCAGCCCACCAGGCTCCTCTGTCCCTGGGATTCTCCAGGCAAGAACACTGGAGTGGGTTGCCATTTCCCTCTCCATTTCCCTGATCACCATATCTTAAATAGTCTTCGTCATGTACTGCCATCGCCCTAACACCTGATCCTGTTTTCCATGCATTGTTGATCATATTCTCAAAGGAACTTACTGCATTCCTTGTGTACTGGTTTCACTGTAAGGCTGGAGCGAAGCTCCTCCACTTCCATGCTGCCCCCCACCGGACAACGCCTCTCCTGTGCTGCCAGAGGCCCAGCATTCAAAACCATTATTAGCACATCATCAACACTCAATAAAGTTTGCTTCATGAGTGAATGACAATTAATAGGAAAACTGTTACTTCAAAACACTAGATAGAAATTTTACGAGACTCAGAATTCCCATCTTCAGTTTCCTTTCATTTATTTCAACAAAGCACCATATGGGGATACCTACACCACGAAGTTACACACAGATCCACCTTTTCTACCAGGTTACGTTTTATCATCTTCTAAAACGACAGTCCATCAAAGTATGTACACACAAAGCCCAGAGTACTTTAGATAGTCTAAAACAGATCTTCCTCTGTTTGTGAATATATATGTGTATACTTATAATCTTCAAAATGAGATAATGTAATAGTACTAAGTTGTCACATTCAGATAAAGAATACCACCATCTTTAAAAGCACCAGCAGGCGACAGGGTTTTTACTTTGTATATGTATGTTATTAAATGTCCCATATTTCTTAGCTACATTTTTAAAATTTGGAAATTAAGTATAATATTCTTAACATTGCTGAGTTTAATTTATAGTTCTTGAGCAGCTTTCCCACTTGCAATTCTATCTTGAGTGTAAGCACTGGCAGCACCACGCTTCTGTAGCTGGCCTTCTCATTTCCAGCTCAAAAGGCAGCTGAAAGACCACCAGGGCAATTCTGAAATGAAATGCACTCTTTTTTTGTTTTTAACACAGTGAATTTACCTACTGCCCCTTTCTCAGGAGGCTAACTAACTTTAAAAAGCTGTTACCAGTATTAAGAAATATACTAATAGACACCACATATACAATAGTTTCTTAAGGTTTTCACTGTTGAACGTGGGGTTTCATCTCCTTCTCTGGCTTGCTCTCTCAGGTGTAGACAAATACTTACACCTTCCAGTCTTACACTAAAGGTCTTTCTTCCACCCTTACAACCAAGTAAGCCCGAGAAGCTGCAAGTTCAAGACTTTTCTTAAACCCATGAGAGCTTAGGTCAGAGGGCAACCAACTAGCCCCAAACTGAAGGTGACACAGGCTCTGTAGGCAGGTATAGGAGATACATCTGCTTACCTGGGCAGATGCTCCTAGACACTGGAAAGCAGCCTGAATTAAAAGTAGGCAAAAGACCTGAACTGACAGCTCACCAAAGAAGCTATACAGTGGCAAGTAAGCATATGAAAAGAAGTCCAACATCATGTCATCAAGGAACTGCAAATTAAAACGAAAAGCACTGCTACATATATTTTAGAATGGCCAAAATCCAAACATTGACAACAGCAAATACTGGCAAGGATGTGGAGCAACAGGAACTCTCATTCATTGCTGGTGGGAATGCAAAATGGTACAGCAAGTCTGCAAGACAGTGGCAGTTTCATAGAAAACTAAATATACTCTCATACAAACCAGCAATTGTGTCCCCTGGTATTTACCCAAATGAACTGAAAATTTATGTCCATGTAAACCCCTGCACACAGATGTATATTACAGCTTTATTCCTAATTGCCAAAATTTGGAAGCAACCAAGATGTCCTTCTGTGAATGTTAATAATCAGTTAACAAATATCTGTTAATAAACATCCAGAACATGAAATATCATCAGCTCCGAAGAGGAAATGAGCTATCAGGACATGATGAGGCAAAAAGATAAGACGCTGAAAGAGGAACTCTCCAGGTCAGTAGGTGCCCAATATGCTGCTGAAGATCAGTGGAGAACTAACTCCAAAGAACGAAGAGACAGAGCCAAAGCACAAACAGCACCCAGCTGTGGATGTGACTGGTGATAGAAGCAAGGTCCGATGCTGTAAAGAGCAGTGTTGCATAGGAACCTGGAATGTTAGGTCCATGAATCAAGGCAAACTGGAAGTGGTCAAGATGGCAAGAGTAAACGTCAACATTTTAGAAATCAGCAAACTAAAATGGACTGGAATGGGTGTATTTAACTCAGATGACCATCCTATCTACTACTGTGGGCAAGAATCCCTTAGAAGAAACACAGTAGCCATCATAGACAACAAAAGTGTCAAAAATGCAGTACTTGGAGGTAGTTTCAAAAATGACAGAATGATCTCTATTCATTTCCAAGGCAAACCATTCAATATCACAGTAATCCAAGTCTATGCCCCGACCAGTAACACTGAAGAAGCTCAAGTTGAATGGTTCTATGAAGACCTACAAGACCTTTTAGAACTAACACCCCAAAAAGATGTCCCTTTAATTAGAGGGGACTGGAATACAAAAGCAGGAAGTCAAGAAACACCTGGAGTAAAAGGCAAATTTGGCCTTGGAGTACAGAATGAAGCAGGGCAAATGGTAATAGAGTTTTGCCAAGAGAACGCACTGGTCACAGCAAACACCCTCTTCCAACAACACAAGAGAAGACTCTACACATGGACATCACCAGATGGTCAACAC